AAATAATAAACTTTCAGACATCCTATTTAAATCAAAATAGCTTCTTAATCTTCGTAACAACTTCAGGAATGATCTTTCTTTATATAGAAAGGTGTGGTAATTTGCTACTGGAAAGAACAAAAAATATTCTTTTCCTAAATTTCACCAAAAAATTTTTGTTACACGCTGTATTTAGTTTTAATGTAATAAAGAGATTTTCTCAAAAAAATTCTTTGCTGTAGAGTTCTATTCTTTTTTAAAACATGTATTTTACTATGCTAATAAGAAATTTGAGCGTTAGGATCATTGCTAAATTTAGACTAGTTTTTGATCATGACTAATACTCGACCATCATATCTAAATTTGGCAGCAAGAAAAATAAACCCTTTTTGAACGAATCACGAAATCGCAGTTTTTGAAATTTGAGCACGTGGCGCAGCAACAGGAGTCATTAGACCGAGCCAGCCATTCATAATACACACACTCAATTTTAATTCAAATTATTCATTTTATTTAAATTATTCATTTTATTTTGAATTATTCATTTTATTCAAATAGAAACCCTAGTTCTGGTCAAGCACAAGGTTTTCTTTATAACTGCACATGTACTATTATTGCATATAGGTTTATCAGTTTTCTTTCCAGCTTAATATGCTCTAAAAAAAAAAAATTATAAATATACTACTTGAGGCATCACTACAAGCAATATAGTAAAATTAAAAGGGTTCCTAACTAATAGTTAAAGGTTAGCCAAACCATTAATCATCAGAAAGGATTATTATGAATCAACCAGCTTTATTAATTAATTACAGTTTTTATTATCAAATGTATATTATTAAAAAATTGAAGGAAATTTTTATACATGACTTTTACATGATTTTGTCAAAATGCGCCATTGATGTTGTCATGATATAAAATGCAACAATTGGGATCCTCAATTTGCTATTGCTATCTTGTATGGCATTTTCTTGATTTATTTGGGTCATATATATTATCATTTTGCATATTCTCCCAAGCAAGCTGTGTTAAAGTCAGTTTTCTCTTTTGAAATTCTCTCCAACGTTAGGAAGTTTTTTCTACATAGGATTTACAGTCAAACCAGACCTCGCCATGGCAGATTTCTTGTTACAATGGCATAACGGATTTTATTAATAAATTCGTTCATATTATTATTATTTGTTTCGGAAAAATTTCGTATACTTTATAATAATAATAATAGAGTATTATTATAATACTAATAATAATAATAATAACGGATTTTTTTTCTAATCCCGACGATCCGTTATAGAGAGAGTGAACCGTATTATTATACCAATTACCCTACGGTCACCGTAGGCTCTTAAACTTGTTGAGCATGCTGTAAAAGAAGCCTGGGGGTAAACACTAAAGCCATTACAACAAGGTATAATGACCAAGAGTAAACGTTATGAACACGTCATCATAATTATCCTATGACACTCTGATCCTAACAATCATCAGCCACAGGACTGTAATCCAAAACATCAGTTTCAGGATGCTATTTTTTCTATTGTGGTAATGTAAATATTACTTTGTTCGATATTATAAGATTGTCTGGGTCTTTGTCCTAATTGCGATTATAAAGTAACACAACCTAATAGTATTATTATGAAGAAGTTCGCAATGATCTGATCGTCTTGTGAATTCAGCTGAAATTTCATTGCGGTTATGTTTACTGCCCCTCCCTATATTGCATACACTCTCATATATATACACATTATATATAGAATAAAACTTAAATAAATCAGGAAAATGTCAGCTTTAACTATACAAATCAAAATATTACAATATACAATAGCCTTATTACTATGTCTTTCACATTTAATTGGCTCGGTCTTTCTAACGCTAATGTTTATTCCACCTTTCGCATTATTTGGTTGGATGTTCTTGCCAATAGTAGTGGCTAGCATTGTTGGTAATTATTATTATTATTATTATTTGTTATTACTATTATTTGTTGTTATTATTATTATTATTATTATTATTATTATTATTATTATTATTATTTGAGAAATATTGATAAATAAAATTTCTAATTTTTTTCTCTTCATTTAATGAAAAAATAATTAAATAAAAATCAGTGAGTGCATACAGCACAGCATGGTTATTATATTTATATTTTGGTAAGATAGATGATAATTATTGTAATCAAATGGGAAAAACTTGGATTCATTTAATTAATATCTTTGGGAAAAAATTTTTTTCAAAAATCAGCACAAACAGATTGACAATTCAATCTACCATATAATCCAAAACGTATTATTAAAATCAACTATGCATTATTACAATTTTTATGGGGTTTTGTGAAATACATACCATTATTTGCAGAATATGCTTACTTGAAATTTTTTGTGTTGGGTAAAAAGATGCGAAGGATTGTAAAGTATTTATCATTTATTTATTATCTGTTTGAAGACAAAAAAATAAATATATTAACTGATTATTTAATAAATCAATCAATTTAAAGGGAAGATATATTTTATGGAAGTCGTTCAAATTCCAATCGTCTTGATGTTTATATTCCAGATACTGCCAAATTTCCTCATGTAATTGAAGCAGCTTATCATCCTGTCATAGTATTTATCCATGGAAGTGCTTGGTCATCTGGTATATTAATAGTTGATTGATTAATTTATTTCTTTCTTGATTTGAAATAAAGTTTTAAATTTTATTTTTTCATTTGGAAAAAAAATACATATAGGATCAAGCAAATCCTTGTATATTCTATTAGCTCTTTGATTAAGACAAATGGGTTATATTGTTGTCGTACCAGATTATTCTGCATATCCTGAAGTATGATTTGATTATATTTTCTTACGAGGGAAAAAAAAGATTATTTTTTATGAATTATTATAATTAATTAATATTTTTTTAGGTAAAGGTTGAATTAATGATTTCTGATATTAAAAGGGCAATAGTGTGGACAAAAAGATACATAAAGTATGAATATAAATGTTTATTTTATTTTATCTATTATTTATTTTATCATTAAGTTATTTTTCTAATTAATAATAATAGTAAATTTGGAGGTGACCCAAGTAAGATTCATATAATGGTGAATATATATATTAATAATATTAATAATTATCTATAAATAATATTAATAATTATTGTTATTGTCATCAAATACTACAATATAAATTTAGGGCCATTCTTCAGGTGTGCATTTAGGAGCTTTAGTTACAGTACAAGATGCTATAATTAAATCATGAACATCATCCACATATTTTGAAGACATTGATCCTGAATTGGAATTACCAAAAATTGCTGGTCTTATTTTGTAAATAAACTATATATATAATTTCGAATTTTTTTCAAAATCACTATTATTATTATTATTATTATTATTATTATTATTATTATTATTATTATTATTATTATTATTATTAACTTTAATATTTCTATTTTGTGTAAATTAATTTAAGAGTTTCCGGTAAGTTATTTTAATATAATTTCTATGTAATTAAAAATACAAAAATTTCTAATTCTATAATAATATAACTGGCTGTAGGAGTGTATGATATTGCAAGACATTTTCATTGTGAGGCTAAACGTGGTGTTGAAGAAATATCAGCGATGACACGTGTAATGGGAGATACATTAGAAAATCTTGCATTGAATTCTCCCACACTCTTACTAGATAATGCTATCAGAGATGCTCAAATTAATCCAGAGACTTTGAATAATTTATTACCACCTAAAATATTATTAATTCATGGTGACAAGGTATTATTTTTAAAAAGGATTTAAGTTTTTATTTGAATTTTTTGTAGATATGAAATATTTATAAATATTATTATTTCTAGGATAATTGTGTACCAACGGAATCATCAATAAGATTTAATCATGTACTAAATGAATTATATATCAAAGATTTAAAATTGAGAATATTTCCAGGAATGAGTCACGATGAACCTATTACAAGTTTAATGTTTAGTCCTTTTACTAGTAAATACACTTTACAATTATTAAGTGAAATGGCTGATTTCATGTTATATTAATAGATTTGTTATTATTGTTACTATTTTAGAAAAATTTTTTTTGAGAACTTTTGTTTTTATTTATATATATAAAATAAAAATTTTAATTATTTATGATTGGTTTAATTGGTCGAGTTCTTCTCTCACAATTATTCTCTTCACTTCTTAAATGTTAAACCCATAAATTTTCTTTTTGCAAAACTCATCCACCATTTAGACAATTTTCCATCAACATATACTCTATCAATTAATCTATTAGCTATTTCCTGTCGACAATTTTTTAAATATGATCGAATATTTTCTATCATCATCATCATCATCATCAACATCATCAGAATAATACATGTAAAAAATATAGATTTTAAAGATTTTAGAATATCGTTTTTTTCTTTCAATTAAAAAAAAAATAAAAATAAATAAACTTATTAATAACAAAAAATTACCCATTTCATTTCTGTTAGCTGGTGAAGAACAATAAACTCTTAATGGAAATGTTACTTCGCCAGGAATAGTTTCCAATTCATTATCTACTGCTCGATTATTTAAAAATTTTACTGCCTCTTTTTGTGTTGGATTTTTTATTAGTAGCTGACTTAAGTAATCAGAGATCACTAATATTAAATAGATTAATACTCGATCCGCATTTCCTTTAACCTCAAAATTACGAAAAAAACAATTGGCTCTGAAAAGATCTAACGCTTCATCAACTATATCATACTCGATAGCTATATATATGTGTGTGTGTGCATGAATAAATGAATTTAATGAGAAAATAATATAGTTATAATTTTCCATCATAAAAATTACTTACATGGTGCTCTAATATATCTTTTATCCGATTTAATCGGCAATAATGCCATTCCACCAATTGTTTCTACTTCTGTTACATCGTTGAATTGGGAGTGATAGGCCTTAAAAAATTTAATTAGGTTTATTTATTGATCCAAACATTAGTTAAAAATTTTTATTTAAAAACTTACAGGCATTTTTGCTAAAAATAAATAATTTGTTTTAATAAATTTAACTATATAAAATTGCTACTTTTTATACTTTTTTTTTTTATGTCACATAAACAGGAAAATCATTTCTTTTTATTACAGTATTAATATAATCGTACCTCTTTCCATATTAAAGGTAGAGTTCTGGTACACAGTATATCACAGTCAGGATTTTATCAGCATGGTGGTAGCATGGTGGACATTCTTATAATTGGTAATGATTTTCGTCGATCAGATTACACAAAAAAGAAAATTTGATTGGCCGA